ATCTCTGACAGCTTTACAAAAATAAAAATTAGCCCGTTCTAATCTGTAATTATCTGGGAACTGTGCGAGGTAGGAGGTTGCTCACAGCGAGCTTCAAGTTGCTAATGCTGAGACGGTGAGAGAATATTTAGTCATTCAAAAATACATTAGGAAGTTCCATGGGCAAGAGGTTGCCAAAGCCACTGGGTGGTAGCAGGGCATGGCCACTGCATCTGCAGCCCTGGTGTCATCCACAGAGCCCAAACAGGGCAGGCAGGAGTCACCAGAACCAGGAGTCACCAGGGAAAGCAACGTTTCCCCATATGCCTTGATGAAAATCATTCCTTTATGATGGTAATATATAATGATGAAAACATATATAATGATGAAAATCATTCCTTTGTGATTTTCCAGCAGGTGATTTAGCAGGAATCTACCTGAAGGATCCCTGAAAGCAGGGAGATTTCCATCCCTGGGCTCTCTCCAGGGTTACAGCTCTGTGTCTGGTACCTTCCACAGCCCCACATGGCATTGTTGGCCTGGGGAGCCCTGACACTATTCCCAGGGGCTGGTCCATTCTGTACAGCTCCATAAATAGAGAACTGGATCCAGAGGCTCAGGTAAGTCAGGGAAGAAGCCTGACAAGATCCCAGAAGAGGTTTGCAAGCAGCAGGAATAAGAGCAGGGCCAACAGGGGCTGCAGTGGGTATTGCTTTAATCCAGGACAGAATTTAGCAGAGGAGTTGAAACCTCTCCAGAAGCAGCAAGAGCCTTCACATCACCCAGAACACAAGGAGGAATCCAGTTGCGTTAAAATAATTCCACGGACAAAGCAATGCAGCCACAGAAATTAGAGAAGGAGAAGTAGCATTATGTCATCTCTCCTTTCCTTCTGGCCAGTCACTGCCCTGATTTCCTATTCTCTTGTGCTGGTTTAAAATGACTTCAGCAACTTGGTTTCTGCTTGTTCCCATGGGAAACTTCCACAGTCTATAGATTTCACTGGTAGGAAACTCTTCTTGACAGTCAGACTATATTTTCCTTTACTCAATTCCATCACATCACTCCTACTTACGCCTCCTCGGAGCACCCTAAACGCTCTTCTCCATTGAAGTCGGGGCAGTTATGTGAGCAGTAAATTTGGCCTGTGGCACTTGGAGAAATAGATATTAAAACCCCAGGGACGAATTAGGGAGCGAGGGGAGGGAGGGCAGTGGGGGAAAGGAAATGGTTTCAGGTTGAGAGAAACAGGATCTCCTCTTACATCTGTACAGTGGTGCTGCCCAGGGCCCCGGAGGGAGCACGCCTGGGACGCAGCACCAGGACACTGCAGGAGGCAATGACATCCCTGGGATGTGCCTGGGGTGACCCTGGGGTGTCCCTGGGTGCTGGTGGGGTTACAGAGCCTCTTGAGGGCTCTAGGGCAGTGTATGTGGCACTTGGGCTTGGGTGCAAAGTGGTTGCACAAAGCCCTGGGCACTTGTCTTGCCCATGGCTGAGCTGTTTGGAGTCCCAGGGCCTGTCACCCCCAGGGTGGCCCAGCCCCACTATTTGGGATGGTCACTGGCTGCTGGTCCAGCAGCCCTGACCCACAGAACACTCCCTGCAAGCTGTGCCTCCGTGGGCTAACATACATGTGTTCTTCAGGACAAAGTCCCAAATGCCCTGGGCCCTTTCCCCCCAGCTCTCACCTCACTGTCGTGGCATCAATATGAGTCCAGCAGATGTGGGCAGGGATGGAGAGGAGGCTGCTGACAGACACACCAGATTTGTCCATCAGCAATCCTCAGCTCCCCTCTGCTCTGGAATAGCACAGGGGGCACTGCAAAGGGCATTCATGGCAGAGAGGAGGGGAGGGGTCAGCACCACGGACTTCTTAGGAGAGAAGAAGTGGAATAAAGAAGTGCAGGACCATGGGACCCTGTAAGGGGGCAAGGGTTGGGACATGGACTCATGACTGAGGAACATCTCAGGATGCTGCAATAAGGACAAAACCCATTATAGATACATGTGGATGGAAGAGGACACATGAAAAGATCCAGAAGTCCCACACCAAAGCCCTACATCTCAGTGTGCTGGGTGCTGTATGTTCCCCAAAAGGGGGTGGTGTTGGCTGGTCACCTGCTGTCTGACCAGGTCACTGCAGGGTTAGACACTCCAGATTGCCTCCTTTTCCCATCATCATGCACTTGATTAACACCATGAAATGGCAAATTACTTTTCTCCAAGCACAGCTATGACCATGGTAAGAAAACTGCATCCTGCCTGGATTGGGACCAACAGCATCCTGGCTTGATTTTTGGGTACCTGCTCCTGTTTGTCACCCCAGCAGGACAGGTTCCTGCAGATCTTTAAAGAGCTGTGTGTGAAGTCTTTGTCCTTCAAACATGTGGATTTTCTAGCTGGGAAGAGAAAAAGCAACAAGGGAGAACTCAGCATCAGGCCAGCAGGACAGAATCAGCACTGGGAATTCCTGCCTCGTGTCCGACTCCAAAAAACACTGGAAAGCACATGGCTACAAGGGTGGGTGTTGGTGAGGTGAGGTGAGCCCACAGAGCTGCCCCTTCCTCTGTCTTGCTGAGGATCTGATCACAGAATCACTGAATGGTTTGGGTTGGAAGGGACCTCAAAGCTCATCTCATCCCAACCCCTGCCATGGGCAGGGACACCTTCCACTCTCCCAGGTTGCTGCAAGTCTCATCCAACCCAGCCTTGGATACTTGCAGGGTTGGGGCAGCCACAGCTTCTCTGGTAACCATTTTCTCTGACTGAAGGTGTTCTGGGTTCTCTGCTTTCTGCCCTGATTGAACAAGTGTGTTTTGCAGAGCTGGGCACCCTCCAGGCCCATCTCAGCAGTGCTCCACTAAGTGCCACCATCACCCCTTGTCAGGAGCTGCACTTTCCCAGTGCTGTCTGTGTAATCAATCAATCAATCAGTCATCAAGAAATAGGATCTGGAGACTGTACCGATGCAGCTCAATTAGTTATTGATTAACCAGCCAACCAGCAGGACAGCCACTCTTATGATTGCAGGGCACAGAGCAAACCCAGCTGTGCATTTCTGTTCCCCTTCCCTTCTAACCCTGTTTCTTCGGGAGGTTGATGCACACGTTCTCCTGCCACAACTGCTGTGTGTGGGATGTTAAATGAATTTTGGGAGCCAAGAGTAGGTGCTGGGCCTGGCTGGAGCCCTCTCTCAGTGTGGCAGTAGATACAGAGGAGACCTGTGCCCTGCCCAGCAGCCTGTGGGTCATTCACCCACAGCTGGAGACAGTGGGTCAGTCTGGAGGATGGAACCACAACTGGTTCCCAACCTGCTTGTCAAAACCTCCCTCACCCACCCCCCCTGCTCCAGGAGCTCAGCCCTCCTCCTGATCTACCTTTCCTTGGATGCTGTTTCTGATCACTGACTTGCCATTCCTGGGGAAAAAACTCCTGACGTCCAACTGTTGAAGATACAATTACAGTAAAACCTATCTTGGGGCTATTTTTCTTAAAAAGCCAATCCGACTTTTACAAGCTACAGCTGACATATATTAAAGGCTTAAACCAAACTTTCCGTGACATTTTGTTGATGTTACCCTGGCTGGTGCTGGTGGATGTAAGGAACAAGGAGAATTATTCCATCTGAAGGGTTTCCCTCTTAGCTCGTGGGCGTAGGAATGTGCAGTGGAGCAACCTGTGCGTGGAAGCTGCAGGTTTCGTGTTTGGAATTGCACAAAACATTGAGTGCAGAGGTGAGGAAACCTGGGGGCAGGAGAGGCAGCCTGTGTCACCCGTGGAAGGGTTGCTGCCCACAGCTGTGATTCATGCACTGCCTGGAACTGTCCTCTTTAATTCCCTTCACAATTACCCGTCTGGGCCAGCTGGCACAGCTCTGCCAGCGCACACAGGGAAACTGGGAAGCAATTCCTCCTGCCACTGCACTTCGGCTCTGCTTGGTTGGGATCACCCTTCACACCACAGAGAGCCCAGCAGTGCCGTCTATTTTCTCTCACAGCAGAGAGATTCTTTGGGATTGTTTGCTGTTGACTCTGCAGCTGAAGTACAAAAGTTCTCCTTGCGTCATCCCAAAATCTGCTTCGCAAATACCTGGTCCTGGGAAGGATGGGGGCCACTGACACCAGAACTGGTGGCCCAAGCTCTGTATTAACCCACTGAGCCGCTTTTAGAGAAGTCATACACTTCTCAGGGTCTTATTTATCTTGTTTTCCTTTATTTCCCCTCAATCTTTATTTCTCCTCCTTGAAAAAGCAACTCATCAAAAGAGTGGGTAAAACACTGAATCACAGAATAGTTTGGGTTGGGAGGGACCTCTAAATGCCATCAATGGCAATCCCTTACCGTGGGCAGGGACACCTTCAGCTAAACCAGGTTACTCCGTGCCCTTTCCAGCCTGGCTCTGAAAACTTCCAGGGCATCCACAGCTTCTCTGGGCAACGTTCGAGCACCTCATTGTAAAAAATTTCTTCCTGATACCTATTCTGCCCTCTATCAGTTTAAAAATATTATTCTTTGTCTCTGCCAAGAAGTTTTCCCTCACCTTCCTTATAATCCCCTTTTAGGTGCTGAAAGGCGGCAACAGGGTCTCCCCGGCGACCTTATTATCCCAGTATATTGGGAATAAGGAGGAGGAAAAAGTGACTGAGTTGCCGCCAACACCGTGACGCCCCAGCTGGCGATTCCCTGCAGCCCTGGGGGGACAGAGAGCGGGGATCGTACAGCACACAGCCCTCGGCGGGATTCACCCCGTGCGGACCCAGCGGCAGCTCCGGGACGGCGGCGGGCGACCGAACCGCCCCGACGGTGCGATCCCTCCCCGCGCCATCAACCAATGAGTTCATCCCTCCTCCTGCTTCTCCCCTCCCCGTCTCATTATGCACCGGCGTGTGTCTGTGATAGGCTGCGGGCTCCGCCCGTCCCCGCCGCCGTGTCCCGCCCCGCCGCTGCCTTTGCTGCGCTGCCGGCGGCGGGAGCGGCGCTGGGCGGGCGGCAGCGCCGGGCACAGGGCGAGAGACCGATGGGGCCGTGCTGAGCCCCCGCGGGTGCCCATGAGGCGCCGGGCAGAGCCGAGCCGAGCCGGCCGGGCTCCAGCCATGCATCCCGGCGCGCCCGCGGGCACATGGGGCAGCGCCTGAACCGCTGCCTCGATGTCCCCGTCGCGCTGCCGCCGCTGAGGCGGAGGCTGCTGCTGCTCTTCATCATGCTCTTCCTCTGGCTCTACATGTTCTACTCGTGCGCCGGCTCCTGCGCCGGGCTGGCGGCCCGCGGCTCTCCCGCGCCGCCCCGCGCCGCCCCGCCGGGGGAGCCGGGCGAGGAGAGCAGCCTGGAGGAGCAGCGGGCAGCGCCCGAGGCCGCCAGCCCCATCTCCAGCTTCTTCAACGGCTCCGGCACCAAGCGGCTGCCGCAGGCCATCATCATCGGCGTCAAGAAAGGGGGGACGCGGGCGCTGCTGGAGTTCCTGCGGGTGCACCCCGACGTGCGCGCCGTGGGCGCAGAGCCCCACTTCTTCGACCGCAACTACGAGCGGGGACTCGCCTGGTACAGGTACGGGACGGGGGGCGGGGGGTCCCCCTGTCCCGCCCTGGCCACCCCGGTGCGGGAGTGCGGGCTCCGGAGCAGCTCGGGGAGCGCCCGGGGCCGAGTCTTCTCAATGCCTCCCCCAGAAAAAAACAACCCCTAAAAAATATAATCAACCCAGCGCTCAGCTTGCGCTCCCCGTTAGTCCAGGCGGCGGCGGGCTTGAAGCGATCCCAACCGTGTTTGATTCTTATATGAAGGTTAAATATCAATTTAATATTCTTAAACGCTCTTATTCCGCCGTGCTTCCAGGGCTTTTGCTGGAGCGGTTATTTTTCCTCCAGCTCGGGGTGCTACTTTGGGATGAGTGGTGTGTCCCCCGCGCCGGCACGGGCCGGAGGGCGACCGCAGATTTGGGGGGGGTTGACCCGTTTGGGGTTTTTTTTACCCGTTGGGGTGGAGGTTGACCTGTTTGGTTTTTTTTTATTTTTGTTGGTTTGGGTGTTTTTTTTTTTTTTACCAGTTTGGAGGGCATTGACACGCTTGGGGATTTTTTTAAGGCGTTCGGAGGGTTTTTGACCCGTCCCGGGAGCGCAGCCGCAGCCGGGACTGGCAGGCGGCAGCTCCGCGTTCCAGATAAAACTTCCTCGCTCCCTCCCCGCGCTCCGTCCCCGTTAACTTTCTCCTACCCCGCAATCATCTCTGGATCGATCGCCCGGGGTCGCGATCGCCCGCCCGGCGCGGGGCTGCGGCTGCGGGGGGGAACGGGCGCGTCGGGGACGGGACGAACCCTTTGGCCTGGGAGAAAATTATAAATTCCTGGCTCGCATCCTGCAAGGATGGATGCCATTCCAAGTGGTTTCGCGAGGAGCAGCCCCGTGCGGGGTGTCCGTGTGCCGATGGGCTCGGCGGAGCGGGAGGCGGTGGGTGCGGAGGAGAAGCGCTGTCGGACACCGAGCGCGGGGCGAGCCGCGTTTCGGTGTCTTTTCATCCCCTTTCCGATTGAAGTTCCTTTATCAGGAATATTTTGAATATGTCTTTCTACTGAGTGTTTACAGGAATGCTAAAGGAGCAGAGATGGAAACTTTGAAGCCAGATGGGAGCTGTGAAGTTGCGAATTGTAACCTCTTTGTAGTCTTGAAACTCCCACCCGGCAAGTCCGATTAGCTTTATGTCTCTTTTTTCAATGTTGCCATCCCTCAGCAGTTAGTGAAATGAGTGCAGGATAAGATCTGGCGAGGAGGAAGTCATTTTTGAAAGCTGTTTTCGTTTTAGGAAATTCTGTCAGTTTGGTGGAGGATGCAGCGCGTGGTCCCACAGCGACCCAGATGAAACCTTTATAAATCCAGTTGGGTTTAAAAAAGTGATAATCTCGCGTTTTGAAGGAGAACTTGCATATAACAGACCAGAAGACCTGTCAGGATTTATTAGCAAAATGGTGTTGTACGTGTTGAACTCTGTTTTTAATTAGGCACCTAAATTAGACCATAAAATGGTTGATTAATCTTTTACAAGTAAGAGGTGGAAGGGGAGAAGGAGAGAATAATGCTTATGATCACGTTCATCTGTTATCCCAGAGGCAGTGGGCAAAAGTCAATATTTAAAGGATACACATTATTTTTAAATTTGGACAACAGGTATCAAAGCTGTGTTTAACTTCTTAAAGTTTCCTCTTCTCAGCTGCTGAATTTTAAGCGGAGTGGGCCCTATCCCTGCAAACACATTGCAGTTTCTCAATAGTATTTTTGCTGTTTTAGTTGAAATACAACGAAACTTGGGATCTAAATGATGATATTCCCAAGCAGCCAGTGCAAGTGATGCTGAAAGTCTTGAAATCACTGGAGTGTGATTCACCCCAGGACGGGAGTGTGTCTGGCTGTCTGTGGGACAGGGATCAGGGTCGATTGGGGGGACTAAACAATGCAAAATACACGGGGGAGGATGAAAACAACAGACAAGTTGTAATATATTGTGCATTATTTCTAACTCAATTAGAATTAGATGCAGAAGTTTGTTCCTATAAATTTTGGCATTTAAAAATCTGTTCCTGTCCAGTAGTAACTCCAAACTCCCGCTGACTTCAGCGAATCTTGGCTTCTCAGCCCTCCTCAAGAACATGCTTCTTTCTCCCAGCCCTAATGAGGCTTTTATTTATTATCTTAATGTCAATACGGAGACGTGTTTGTATTTTCTTGTTGATGGCCCAATAAAATTGTATTAAAGGTGCCATAGAAGTTCAGTGGTGCCAGTGTCACACAGTGAACTGGGCAAGCCTCGCCTCTGTTTTTCAGATACTTTTGCACAAATCGACTGAACTTTGGAACTGGGGGAGTTACTGCGTCCTCAGCACCCTGTGTGTTCAGTGTAAATCCAATTGCCTGCCTTTGAAATGATAAAGATTTTTGACCAATTTTTGACCCCCATCTCATTAAAAGTGTATTTTAGTCGACTGGCTAAATTTGATCATATCCATTAGGAGTTTTTGTTTGTTTATTTAAGTTGTTCCTGCCATCCAAAATCTGCTTTTTCAGATTCCCAAGATGCATAAGGCATCACAAATTTGCTTATTTAGCTTGATGAATTCTAATTTTTGGAAATACTTGCAATTAATCATGTTTGTGTTAACCACCGATCTCTGTCTCAAGTTTTCATCTATAGAAAATAACTTCTGAAGGCGGGAACGCAAAGTTTTTCCTTGCTCCATTTTCCGTCAAGTGAAATGAAATCTGTTGGTTTGTTTCCTTTGTGTGGAAGGCAAAACAGCATCAAGGGGTGCTGACCACCATTCCTGAAAAGCAGAGGGAAAAGAGGGGAAAAATTACATTGTTTTTCTCAATAGTGAGATCACTAAAATTTAGTGAAAATAACTTCTGTCCGCACGTTGCGGAGTTTGCACCCAGTAATGTTTTAACTGCCTCAAGTGAAAATATGTACCATGACAGAGGAGAAACGGGATCCAGCCACTATTGCAAATAAATTTTAAGTAGTGCCTGGAATTTTTGGACAGTAGAGAAGTTCCCTTTTTGGAGCAGTAAGGAATTCTGAGCTATGTGTCTGACTGCCCGGCCGAGCAGCCTGTGGGGACGTCGTTGTTCTCTTTTGGGTTTACTGTAGGGCTTGCAATGTTTCTTGCAAGCCTAGAAAATCAATTGTTGAATTTCTTTTATTATTTTTTTTAATTGATTCAACAGTGATGCATTTTCAAATGTCCTTGGGACTTGAAAGCCTGTTGTCCTGTAAGTAACGTAAGAAAAAGAGATCGTATCACTAATGTTACACGCTTGGTGATTTTTCTTTTTTTATTATTAATTTCAGCCCAGTGGGCTGTAATACCCAGTCTCTCCTGCCTTGGGCTGGGCGTTCCCAGCCCTACTCACCATCACTGATTTATATTTTGAGTCTGTAGCTCTCTGCTGGAACCCCTGTGCCGTGGCTGTGCCGGCTGTAACCACGACACCACGGCTAGACCCGAGCTCCTCTGTCCCTAGCAGTGCAGCAGGGAGACCTCTTTTCCTTTTTCCTTCTTTTTTTTTTTTCCATGGAAAATTCTTAAAATGCTGGTGCTTTGTCTTCCTGCTCTTGCTAAATTGCCCTAGTTCATTCTCCTTAGTGAGACTGGGTGGTTTGGGTCAGCAGGATCAGGCCCCGAGGTCTGGTGGTGTGCGATAAACTGCTTCAGACGTGCCTTTCTCAGACTTCCAAATCACCTAAATGACACTGGGGACCTTAATGTGCAAAGAGCTGCGTCACAGCACCTCCTGAATCAGAAGAAACATCCTCATTTTTTTATTTTTTATTTTTCCTTGGGACCCTCCCTTTTTTCCCCAAGGAGAGTTTAGGGGTGCGAGCTGCTGCTCGCAATGGGCCAGGCCGTGAGCAAGGGAAGAGTCAGGGAATGATGGTTAAAATTGGGGGTGAAAACCTTGCTGCACTAAATCTTGAGCAAGGCAGGGTTTGACCCTAGTGTTTGGTCAGTCTCTATAATCTCAACTTTGGGGAGGGTTTAATCCCTGCTGTTTAATTGCCACTGCCACTTCGCTTCCCGGCGGGACACGGACCCGGAGCGCGGGCACAGCCGGGTGCTTGCAAAACTCAACGTGTTGGTTTCCGCTGAGTGTCACAAGCTTAGTTGGCCCCAGGAAGTTTGAGAACAGCCCTCTTTCTCCCAACTGGACTTTGGGTGCAAATGACAGCATCTGAGCAAAGACCAGTTCCTCCAGTGCATTCCCGTGAGCTGCGCTGGGCTGGAACCAGCGTGTCCTAAAGGACAGTTGCGTTCTCTGGGATGGTTTTGCCAAACAACTTTGCCTTTGAGATTTTTGTTTTCTTGATGTAAAAAAAAAAAATAAAAAATCAACTATTGGCCTTGCACTGTGTTGTGCTTAAGCGAGTGGGGACTTTTAGTGGTCCCCTCCAAACCTACACAGAGCTCAGGGCCCCCTTGGCCATTGCAGCGGCTCCCCACGATGTGTCTCAACCGCTGGGCGACGTCGGGAAGAAAATGGCCCCAAAAAAGAAGGGCTGGGCTGCTAAAATCAGTCAGCAAGGCCCTTGTGTTTGCATGGGATCATTCCTCCAGATCTGAGGAGGGTTGAGTTGTTCAAACAGATGGCAAAGATTATTCGTGTTGCTGGGGTTTCAGTGCACTGCTCTGTTTCAAGCATGTTGCCCGATATGACGCACGTGACAAGTTCTTCCCAGCACGACGCTGGGGGGGGGGACGACATTGTCTGCCCTGCTCGGGTTTCATGGCCTCACCTGTCGAGCTGCTGAACTTTTCAAAGTTGCCCAAGCGTTGGGGGTGACGGATGCGGGTGGTGGATCTGCCTGGCTAATCGTGTTAGCCCGGCCCTGCCGGGGAGCGCTGTGCTCCTTGGCATGAAAACGATGGGAATGAAAACCCACGGGCTCAGCTCTGGGTTTGGGATTTATGATTTATTTTTTTTTTTTCTTTTCAAGTGGACCATGGCAGATGTCTGTAACACACACCAAGCTATGGATATCTCAAGGCACTTCTTAGTCAAGGC